ATTTGGGTTTAGACTTTGGTTTTATTAATTTCTGTTTTGCGGCCCACCGTTGTATCGTTTAACGTGTGGACTTACAGAGAAGCCCACTTAGCAGTTTAAACTTTTGAATACCATATTCTCTTCCCTCTCAAAAACTCTCTATATGAAAAGAGAGACCACCAAGTGTTCGCGAAAATGCCCGAGAGAGACTCCATAGTCAACACACCACAACAAAGCATAACTCTCCGAAGGTCTCCAAGATTTCTTCAACCCAAGAACACTCTAGAACCAGAGAAACCCCCCAAGACTCTCCGGAAGTCTCAGACGCTTGTCCACCGTGAAAAGAGCGCTTCAGAATCCAAAAACTCGAGAACCGCCAAGTCCAAAAGAAAAAGCAGATCTGTTGTTCGCTCTTCGAGTCCTTCACTCAACTCTAAGAAATCGAGTAAAGCTCATGGGTCCAGAAAATCTCCGAGATTGAACACTGGGGTTGAGGAGTTTCAGAGTCTCAGACGTTCTTCGAGGATTTTGAATCGGCAGCGCGTCGTCGTTGATGCTGGTAAGGATTTCCCACAGAAAGTCTCGAATAAATTGGTCAAATTTGATAATGGGTCGAGTAATTGCACGGATTTGAGTTCCGGGTCAAGAAAATGTGGAAGAAAATCTCTGAGGTTTTGTATTGAGCAACCTGTTGTTGATGTACGCACGAATAAGGCAACTAATACTAGATCTAAAAATAAAACAACTAGTTTCTTGGATAAAGAGGAATTCTCAGATGTTGGAAAAGATGGAGCCTCTGTTAATTCACCCGAAGGAGTTCCGAAAAAGAGCAAAAAGGTGACTTGGAGGAGTTCAGGTGGTGGTGAAGTGGTTAGTTCGGAAGGTAGAGAAAGGAAAAGGCAAGAGTTAGATGGTGGAAATAAAGAAGTTGAGGTTAGGAGGAAGAGAAAGAGAGATGAAGAAGGTATTGGGGTTGTTCATGGATGGACAAAGGAACAAGAATTAGCCTTGCAGAGAGCTTATTTGGTAGCAAAGCCGACACCCCATTTCTGGAAGAAGGTTTCTAAAATGGTAATTTGCTACTCTTTTGATGATTCTTAAATTCACAAAATCTTGTTTCATGTCAAGCCTTACAGAAATCTTTCATATTACTGACAAGAACAAGAATAGATACATTATTGGTTCCGATACTTTAGGGCAAATTGCATTTGGTTTCTATACTTCTGTCTTAACAAAATCACCCTTATAGCTTGGTAACATATTTTGGTATGATCTAAATTTTCACTTCCTCCACATTGTTTGATGAAAAACTGAATTTTCATCCCCTAATTTCACCAAGCTGCAAAAACTAATGTGACGGGAATATAGAACCAGACCATGGTGAGAGGTAAATGTGTTCACTTTTTGATAATTTTGTTAGCCAATG